AGTAAACAGATTGAAAAACCTTGCACGCGAAGAATTTTGATATTGATTTTACAAAAAAATTTAAAATTTTGTTAGATACAGATTTGAAAATAATTTTGTTAGACCACAAACGTCAAAATAATTATTTTATATTACATATAATTAGAAAATAATAAGCAATGCTGCGAAAAATTTGATTCTAACAACCAATTTGAATTACGAGCATAATTATTTTGATGGTTACACGAAAACAAAATTATTTCCAGCAACATTTTAGATCTTGCAGCAAAATCGTTCTTTCTGTGTGTATTCTGTCATCCTGTAAAAGATTCATTGATTTCGCATTACAACGGCAATGAATAAAGTAAATCAGTTAACGAAACTCGAAGAAAGAACGCGCGCTTTTTCACGCGTTCCGCTTTTAGCAACTGAATTATTAGTCGTATTCACACGGAAAAAGATGACCATCCTCTGGAAGGCAACCCACATCCGATTCTGTAATAACGAGGCGGAGAGAATGCACGCCTAGGAGAAAGTAAGTCGCCGAAAGTTTCGTTTTCACGTTTGGCCCGGTCCTAAAGCGACCGGTTCCGACATTCTGATCTGATCCGCGAAACGTTGCTTCAACCAGATTGTGAAACCGGCGGGTATTCGGGCTATCGAGATTCAAACTGAAAATTGCTGGAATCGATTGGCTTCCGCGATTTCTTATTCAACATCCTATTATTGAGCATCAATGGCTAAAAGTTTCACTGTGACCGATTCAAGAAAATTGAAAAGATAATTTTAACTATAAAATAACATATACAGATTATGAAATAATCAGATTATATTGCGATAAATCAATGGCACCGTCTCTCCTCTTAGCACGAATCAAAGATGGGAGTGAAAGGGTCCAGAATCAACAGGTTGCTCGATACTCGTTTCAGTTCCCGACCGACCTTTAGCCGGAAAGCTGTGGCGTCTTTGCTCGCATTAAGATCTCCCAAGCTGATAGAACGTATGAATATGGACGGCATTTAATCTATGCATATAACAATAAAAATATTTTTTAGATTAAATAAGAGAAAGTAAAAGAATAAATTATCGAATTTAGTAATTTATTAATCATTGATAAAACTATTTTAATTCCAATTTTTTTCAATAATTGTTGTAAAATGAATAAAAATGTAAAATTTAACTAAGCAGCGACAAAGTTCGGCTTGTTTAATAAAACTGCAGTTGCTTTGTAATTTTATATGCAACAATGTTGATATAAATATAACAAACTTTCTTTTTTTTGTCTCTCTCTTTTTTTATCGAACAAAATTAAAAAAAATTAGTATGAAAAAATTATGCTAATGTGTAATTAAATAAAGAATACTTGGTCACACAGAAAATTCACCAGACAAGTGTCTGACGAATCTCTATGAAATAAAATAAAGATGAAAAGAGAGCAAAAGGAGAGGAAGGAGAGAATGAGGCAACTAAAAACGAAGCAAGAGATATAAAAAGAAGTACGGTGAGCGAAGAGGAGAAAGGAATCCTTCCGTGACTCGCGAGAGTCCGCAGGTCTCTCGTGGTTTCCGCGTTCGCACAACAGGCATCGCGTCTACCGGACCGGTTCTGGTGATTCAGAACCTCATACCTTCACTACGTAACTTATGTCGGGCCCTCCCGCACTCTCTTTTTTCTCTCCTCGTACGATCATCACAGTGAAAGAAGAACTGCAATCGGTATGATTGAATGATAAACAAAACTTTATTTTAAACAGATACAAGAACCGAAAAATAATTATATTTCGACATTGAAAATTACAGTTCTCACGTTTCCTACAAGAAACTTACAATGTAGTGTTAAAAGATTGTCTCAAAAAAATTGTTCAAAAAAAAAAAAACTGGAAAGTATTTTCTGTGATTTCCTAACAGAGTTTCTTAAAGGAGAGAAATTTTATGAATTTTTTACGCAGATAAATAAATACATGTTGTAATTAAGCCTGTTGTAATTATTTATGAGAACACTTTCGATTTTACGGTGTTCTCCTCTTTATGTTCCAATCTTCTTTCTTTCGTTAAAATGATCTTCCTTTACCGAGAGTTGTCTTTTATTAAATTACACTCAGCTACGACTAACTGCCGAACGCTTCCGCGTTGATCGAAGGTAGGACAGAGATAGCGGGATTCTTTTTGAATCCTGCCCACGGATGCCCGATCCTGATGGCCCTGACCCAAAGCGAGACACGCTTTCGCGAATTATAATGGCCGCCACGGAACATCTTTGTCTACGTTCGCAACATTAAATTTGGATATTAACGCGCGATTACTATTATTAGAATTGAAAAAAATTCTTTCGTAGTTTGATCATGAAATACAATAAATCTTCAAGATATTTCAAATTCAGAATTTACTTTGTTGTATTATTTGAAATAAGATAATTAATTTAACATAAACAAGTCTAAATAATAATAATAATAACAATTAAAAAATCGGTGATTATATGATATTTCGAGCAATAGCGGAATGCTCTAATGATACACGGAAAAAACTGTTAATAATTTCCTTGGTTGAAGTAACTATGGAGAAGTAACTATGCTTAAGCATTGATGGCGATACGGCAAAAATTTTGTAATATTATAGTTTGTGCATTTTACATATTTATCTTCGGAGTCCAAAAAAATTATTTCCATAATCTTTTTTAGGTATTTCAGCAAAAAACATGTTCTTTCCGTGCGTGAAACGATTTCGATTTAATTTATTCGGAAATTAGGATTTCTATTTTTACAAGCATTAAAATGCATGAAAAGTAAAACGGGGTGGTTGGCGAAAATCAAAAAGTGAGCCGGTCGATCTCGTTATGTACCTATGGAATGGCATACTTTTTGCAGCATATTTTAATTGATCGATCTGTGAAATTAATGAAGTGCCCCTGCGCCCCTTCGCTAAGTAAAATCGAAAGTGGCAAAATACCGCAGTCGAGGCGATACGAGGAGATAACGTTTCAGTCTGGTAGGGAGAGGTACGTTTACTTGGAGGGGACACAACTTCCTCTTCTACCGTACGCGATGCAGACGAAGATGACGGTAAAACTTTAAAGGCAAGATCGGTGGATCGATGTTTGTTTGCTGATGAATAATCATGCGTTTAAAGATGCGAATACGTCTCGTCTTTCTAAATGATGATCTTACAGCTCGAGAAACCTCAGGACGAAGATCGAAGGAACAAGACTGAGGGAAAAAGAAGTCGATCTATATATTTAAAAACGAGCGGAGCATGAAAATTAAATTCGTCAGAGTGTTTCGAAGCGTAGCAGCTAAATCGTGAATAAAAGCTCCTACGTTCTTCAGCGTCCGAGAGTCTGGAGAGTCAGGTATCGGGAGAGGTGATAAAGTAAGTAGAGACGGAAGGCGAGCCACAGACAGGACAAGTGAAAAAGTGCGACGCGATCAGCCGGAGCGCACGAGCAAGCGGGCCAGGCAGGTAGACACCAAAGGACCACGGTGACGTTCACCAGGCGGGAGGAAGAGGCCTGGATCTGGATCCTAGAAACTAGACAGGGACGTCGATAAAGCTGGTGCTCGCTGGCTCGTGTAGGAAGGAGAGACGTCGTCGGCGAAGCGAAGAAGGAAGAAACCGGCGGGGTGTGCGCGCTCGCACTTTTGCGCGACGAGTGGGGTCAGGTTTTAGATGTATAGTGGGAGGTGGGGGCGGGAAAAAGCGGATGTTGGGGCGGAGGAGAGTGAGACGGAGCATCGGTGGGCACGACAAAGAGGGAAAGAGCCTCTCGAACGGCGTGGCGCTTGCGACTCAGTGTCTTTCCGGACGCCACACGTTTGAGACACGCACGCGAGAGTTTCTTTTTCCTTCTCTCTCTCTCTCTCTCTCTCTCTCTCTCTCTCTCCCTCTCTCCCTCCAACCTCTTCCTCTCTCTTTCTCCCTCTCCCTTTCTGTGCCCACCCTCTACCTATCCTTCTCCCTCCTGTCTATGCCTGCCTGGACGCCCGTCCGTTCCTCCGTCTTCCTCGCTCCGTCCTTCCTCGTGCTGTCTCTCTACGCTCACCTCCAGGACGACGTTGAGGCAGCACACCGTCCGTGCCCTGCCCCCTCTCGCCGGCTATGGAGTGGGACCAATAGGAGCGCCGCTTCCGGCAACGATGGTGCTCCAATCGGCATACGACGCCGACGGATAGACGCTGACGAGAGGCGATTTTGACAGTCGACACTCAGTGCTGCTCTCAGAGCTCGTAGTTCGTGCGCTGGACTTACTTCGAGTCTGGGATCCTTGTGACTCGCGAACCGGAGCAGTGCCCTTCGCAACGTGGACACCCTGTTGCGCGGTGGACACCTCGCGAGCTTCCGAAGCTCGCAGTTTCAGTCTGACCGCTCGCGAAAGTGCTTGTCTTTTTATTCGTTGGATATTGGATTTTCTCAGTGAATCACGATCGTATCAGGCCTATTGTGAGTGGACCAAATTGAAGATTTAATCGAGCTCACTGACAGACGAGGCGCGAGGATTGACAGCCATCGCGTGAACGAAGAGAGACAGCGAACCGCTCTCGAGAACTCGCCTTTATCCGGGATAATTCGATCGAGGCGAAAACGCTAAACGATCGATTGCGGAAAATTCCGCGGCTGATTCATAGGATAGACTTTGCGAGCATTCCCACGGAGATTCCCGCGCCTTCAGCACAATCAGAAATAATATCGTATGTTCGCCACAACGCGCCTCGCTTCTGCAGCCGAATCTATTCGATAGCGGGCGGACAGCCTCGGTGATCAATAGCCCGCGATAGATTCAAGTAAATTCCCTCCGCCGATACGTACAGACACATCGCGGTTGCTTCTCGCGTCGCAAACATCCCCGCTGTCGCACGGATGCGAGCGCGTCGTCCGTCCAGTCGCAAGTGAAAGGAAACTTCGGGGACGGGGGGGGGGGGGGG